GTTCAGCTTGGTGATGAGGTTGAACAGCGTGGCGCCACCGTTGAGGCCAAGCCGGAAGTTGGCGATGACGATATCCACGTTGACCTTGCGCCGTGGAACAAAAATACGGGGTGGTTGGTGGTTTGATGGGTACCAGGGTACCTGGTTCAGGTTGGCGCAAAGAAAAAAACCATTTCGGCCCCCTATTGTGACTCATACCGATACCCATACAAAAACACGAAGGACTTGAGAGCATGCTGGGACTCGCTGACAGGCAGAGCAAGCATTCTGAGGTGATGACATCAGCATACATGGAAGCCCGGATTCGGATCGTCTCCGCACTGGTTGCAATGACCTGTCATCAAAAGATGCTCCTCCAGGTTGCCCCTATAGCTGTGGAAAATCGCTTTTTCAGTGGGCCAGACCCATTTGGACGACCCTTATAGGTATCGTAGAAAGTGGCGATAAGAAAAAAAACAACTTCCATGGCTTCCATGGCTTCCATGGCTTCCAACGTGGGCGCCTCATGGCCCAGGGACACCGCCGTGGCACCGGTGAAGTCGAAGCCGGTTGGCTCCAACGCCTGGCAACTCGGCCGCTCGTTCAGAAGCCAACCGCAGTTCTGAAACAGAACGAATGGGGGGTCACTCATGTTAGGACTTTCTGCGTTCCCGCTGCAATTTGGCCATGCCACCTTGTCATTCTTCCCTGACTTGTTTGTCGTTTGGCCTTTCCAGTAAGTTTTTCGGCTTGTTGACTTCTCGGCCTTTCGGCTTTGTGTTGTTTTGCTTCTTGCATTCATGGCTTCAGCTGTTTGACTTCGTGCATTGGCGGCTTGGCTTTTGGCTGTAGGCGAGCTTTTATGCTGCAGCGCCGCTCCGCCCGGACCCAGAACAAACTCTACGCTCCGAATCCAGCCTGTCCACCCCTACATCCACCCTCAGCCCACCCTGCAGCAACCCTAAGCCAGAAAGGAGGCTGAAACCACGGGGTCCTCAAATTTTGCTGGCAGTTGAGCAATTTGTGTTTAAATGACCTAATTTCGTATTCTTTCATGACCCGTTTCCAGGCAAGAACCAAATCTCGCGGCCTGAAGAGTCAGCTCATCTGCATCTGACACTGGTCGGTATGAAACAGCGATCGTAGACACCTTGGTGCATTGACTCCATCGCACTCGGCCCACCACCGTTTCAGACGCTGAACAAGCTGATTCACCTGGCTGCCTGAGCCTAGTGCGGAGTTTTCAGCTTTCTGCCTGCCCACCAGCATCACTCGCACATTTGCCAGCTGCGGCACCTAGGAAAGCCAGAACCAACGCAACAACGGAGCAAGCTGCGAAGGAAGCCCTCTTCAACAGCTGGACAGTAGCTGAGACTGGAACGACATCCCAGCTGTTGGTGGCCTTTGGAAAAGCACAATCTTCTGATCAGTCTCTTCATGTGCAACTTCAGACCTCATACTGGGTCCGTTAGAGTGACGGCCTCAAATTCTATCCTCTAACTTGTGGTTTAAAGGCAAACCAGCCACAGAAACAATTTGACAACCCCTCAAAATGCCAGCACTTTGAGGGGCCCCGTGAACAGTGATTGTGACTTGCCTCAGTGCTCATGATGACGCCGTTGGAGGTGTGAGTAATGCTCCACTGGTTCAGCATCACCTCAGGAAACAACTTGCACACGGCGGCAACCACGGCCCGCCCAACTCGTGGAACTGGTTTCTTCCTACTGACCTCCTTTGAGAGCCTGGGCATGCAAAGCGCAGATATATTCAGATAGGGTACGCCTCAGAGCTCCACAGGTTTTGCGGATTTCTCAATGTAGAATGCGAAGCCAAGTGCTCAGGCCAACAGTGTCTGGGGCTGAACTGCTTTGCCGGTTGCATTTGCACTATTGCACCCCAAAGGCTGGTATACCATACATACGTGCGTGTTCAAGGAGTGGTGTCGGGGTACTTCCTCATGCTCCAACCTAATTCTACAAACGCGGCGCAGGCGCGCGACGCACTCGCAAACTGTCCCTGTCTCCAAAAAATATATATTTCAAGCGCAACTCGCGTCAGCTGGATGAATTGACTTGAGCGCAAACTTGCGCTTCCATGTGCCTCCATGGATTCCAACAGCTCAAGATAAATCCCCGCCTGTCGCTTTTGGAGGCTGCCCCTTGTTGGGGGTTGATTTAAAGGGAAATAGGAAAGACCACCACCTTGGGGAACCCCCCCTTCTTGGACACGTAGCCTTAACTTCTAGCGTCGTGCTCGGGGCCGAAGCGAAATTGCGCTGGCTGACTGGCTCAAGCCGCGCGACAGCGAACCATGGCATGGACACAAACATGCGAGTTCATGGTCCTCACAAGTGAAGCTATTGACCAACAAAAAAGCTTCGTGTTGCGGATTGCTTTCAACAAACAAATCAACTGTGAGCAGAAACAGTCAGGGGCACTTCTACCTCCTTTCGCAGCAAACAGTCAACTGCTACCATTTCAGCATGACCGCTTTACAGTGCCTCAGCCCTAGTCAAAACTCCTCTCAAACCGCGGTCCCACTCCCACTCGGCCTACTGACAGGCCAAGTTGCGTGGGGTGTCTTAGCAGGATTCCGGGAGTCAAGGCGGAACATCATCGTCCGCAGCTCTTCCACATTCTTGGGCTCACGTACCTAATTTCAGACATTCTCCATTTGAAGTGCCCGACACCACCTACTAGAAGTTCCATAAACAATATTGCGGCAATATTGCGTGCTCTTCTACACGTCGCAGTATGTTCCAATAGCACAGCCAACTGCAGTACATACCCACGCGTTGGTGCAAACAAGCCAGTAAAACCGTAAAAACAAAGAAAACAAATCGACGCGGATGTAACAGCACTGGCCACATCCATGGTGAGCATGGTCCCGGTGCAGGTGATCAAAGAGTTGGGCAGGTACAAGTAGGCATCCTGCCATGCGGCGACTCAGCCAGCATTTGCGCGCTCATCTCCGCGCTCAGCTCGAGTCCTCCATAGGCTCCCAGCGGAAGTTGGGGCAGGTGTCATCGCCCGCTGCCTTCGGAGCGAACCGCACGACTCGGATCAATGCGCGCAAGTCGTTCAGAGACCCCAGCACTGAAGGAGAAGCCCATGGGAGCTTGAATTGTGATGACCTCAGCAATCAAGAGATGTGGGCGCCCGCGCTTCAAGTTGAAATGCTGCTTTTTGCAGGGTACCCTTTCCGATTTCTGAGAAAAGAACCGAAGTGGAAAGCCACGAATTTGTGGGGGCTCCCCCCCCCCTACACATTTTTCCAGGAGCCCAGCATCCCCAGGGATGAGCTTCGTGGGCAGCTGGAACTGCATGAACAAGCCAGGGACCTCGGAGAGCCTTGGAGCAGATTCGCAGAATTGTCCTGGCATCCAAAAGCCACCTGGATTTGGAGCCTCGAGCTATGGCTATGAATGTTCATGAGGGGCTCTCTGGTGGGCATCATTTAGGTGGTGATTTCTGTCCACCAACCATTTGGGAGGGGGTTGACCATGGCCATATCTAAATCAGCTAGGAAAGGCCCTTTTTCACCGACCATTTGTACCCTTTGAGGGAACCTGTGCAAGCCTGGAATACCGCAAACTCAGCCCGGGGCCCATTGCGGTACTCCACGCCCGTCAGTGGGTCCTCATGGGATGTTGCTGCCCTTTGCACGCCGTGCAGATTGAGATTTCACGGCAGTCCTGGTTCCGCACCACCCACTGCCTGGCCTTGTTCTGCACAGGATATCCGGGCCTTGCAAAACACTCACAAACAAGAAATTAGCACGCCTATAATATGAACCCGCTGGCATTGCTACACCGTCTCCACCCCTACTTTCAGAGGCGTATTTTGTTCTGTCATGCAAAGCCCGCAGAGTTTTGGAAGCATGCCACTCGGGTACTTGCTTGATTTCCCCATGAGGTATATTTCGAAGTTTCAAGCAAGAGCTACAGGTGGTGCTTCTCAAGCCTTTGAAATCAGTTCATCCTCCTTAAGAGTCAATAAGAGTAACAGCGTGTGGGTGGTATGGTTCCATATGTGTATATATAATATATATATATATATATATGTATATGTATATGTATATGTATATATTGCATACACAAGCATGTCTCAGAGAACGAAATTCTATATCCGTCAATCTGTTGCGGAAGGCTCGGGGTCAATCTGTATTCTGCTTGGCCGACTTTGTTGGGGGGCAGGCTGGAGCAGGGAAGCCTTCCGAGCAACATTGTGTTTGCCTCTAATGGCTCTAAGACATGAAAACGAATCAGCGCTGCCGAGTCTTTGAATTGCTTGGCCCACCCTGCATTCGTAGCATCTGTGCTTATTTGCCTTTTCGAGCCATGCTGGCTCATGTCTCCGGTGACCCCAAAATTATGGGCACGAAGACATACAAAACCTGGTTTGCTGTCCGCAAACACTTTTGTAAGACCCTGCAAAGATGTCCAACGCGAGAGGAATGGTCCACACATACGGCATGCATGGCCGCTCGGTGCCATTTTCAACGTCTTCTTAGCTCAAAGTTGCGTCGGTATCTTGTGCTAGAGAACTCAATGCCTTCGTCATGTATCAACCAATAGCATCTTTTCTTGCACATACTATACCAATCTAGACTCAACCGGATCTGAGTGTGCACGTGCACTCTGGATCGCAAGCGAAATTGAAGTGTGCTACATGCTTGATGTCCAGTGCTACAGGTCGTCATCCGCCATAGAAAAGCGCTGCTGAGCTGTCGACAAAGTAATGGAATCTCGATAGGTCGGGAGCACCTCGGACGATACCGTTTCGATTTATGAAAATGAAGCGCACTGCAAAGGATCCAAAAATCCAAAGCTCAACATGCTGCTGGGGCAATGCACTCCTGAGGATGATGGGCTGTCGAAGGTGTCAAGCTGCCAAACATTTGTCGGATTCTCCTGAGCTCAGGAGAAACAAAGCGCTCGCGTTCCTCACGGCGCATCCTTCCTATGTGGGGCCAGCCTCATACGGACGGATGGTCAGCGTGGGATTCCTTACCTGAGGCATGAGCAACACCGGCATTGGCTGTGTGCGTGTGTGTGTCAAAACAGGGGCTTAGACCTACCAAAGGCCAGGCCCCAGTTGGATAAAATCCCCTCAACCGACCAATTCACATAATATTTTTTCATCATTTCATAACAGAACCTCAACTCAAGATTTGATACATAAATTTTGAAAATATTTTTCTAAATTTTCAAAAATATTATTTTACAAAATTATCATTTTTCCCAAGAAATATAAATCATAAATTTTACAATATTCTTATTGTAAAGTTTATGGTTAAAATTTAAATCATATTATTTCATAATTTGAATAATTGCAGAATTCCTCACGGAATATGCTGAAATGAAATAATTTTCCAGAAAGGGTAATTCACCTACAATTTGAAAAACTTTGTCCTTCACTTCCTCCATTTCTTTTTTGACCTCTGGTGCTACTGGAGGTTTTGAATTTTCAATTTCATTAGGTTTTTCTTCCTCAACTGTTGTTTTTACTTTATTCTCATTCTCAATATGCTTCAATGTTTTCAAATGCTTGGATATTGCAGATTTCCTCACTTTACACTGGCAAATATCACATTCTATTTCAATCTGATTACGCACTTTATTATATTCCTTTTTCTTTTCCTTCCTATCAATTTTACTTTGTTCTCGGCAGTAATCACAAATATGCACTCTAACATTAAATAGGTCAGGGGGATAAGTGTTTTCACATCGCCTACATTTTTGCATTTTGTCAGTCATCTCCATGCTACTATTGATAGGTGGCATGTCTTTAAGACCAGACCATCTTAAAAATCCCAAATTCCCAAAATATATTTTCCCAAAATCCCAAATCCCAAAATCCCCATAATTTCAAAACATAAATCTTACAATGTTTTTTATTGTAAGGTTTATGGGGTGTGTTTTTCTCTGCTGTGGTCTCCGAAATGGAGGCAATGAAGCTCTGATAGAACTCCAGAAATTCTTCATTGGACGCATTGTGTTTTGTCATTTGGCGCATTGTGTTTTGTCATTTGGCGCATTGTGTTTTGTCATTTGGCGCATTGTGTTTTGTCATTTGACGCATTGTGTTTTGTCATTTGGCGCATTGTGTTTTGTCATTTGACGCATTGTGTTTTGTCATTTGACGCATTGTGTTTTGTCATTTGACGCATTGTGTTTTGTCATTTGGCGCATTGTGTTTTGTCATTTGACAAATTTCTTTTGTAATTTGACGAATTTCTTTTGTAATTTGACGAATTTCTTTTGTAATTTGACGAATTTCTTTTGTAATTTGACGAATTTCAATTTGTCATTGGATGAATTGTTTTTTGCTTTCAACCCACCAAACTCGTCAAAATCTCACAAATCAATTCAGCAGGTATTTTGTATAAATCTTCCTGCTTATGTATTACATAATTATCCCCCATTCTGCTTTAGTTTTTGATGGCAACTGTTCCAACAGAACCACTGCCTGAAAATAATTCTAGTAAATTCATATTGTTTATTAGAATGATTTAGATAATGTTTTAGACATATACATATTTATCATCTTCCTTAATAATCTTATAGTATTCTAATGTTTGTTCTTTTGGACTTTTGATTTGTCCCTTATTTAACATATCACAATATTTTTTACGCTTCGTGTCATAATCACCGCTGGGTCTGCCTATCCCTTTCTTTTCAAAGATCTTATCAATCGTTTCCTTCTCTTCATTGTTATTTTTTGGTTCGTTTGCCTTTGCATCAAGTTTCTCGTCAATAGTTTTTATCATCTCGTACAACAGTTTAACATTTTTACTAACTGTCATCATCTTCTTTGATAGTTCAACAATAGCATCGTACTCAACTTCAGACATTTCTATATATATTTATTTATATAATTATTTATTTAAATAATTATTTATGCATTTTATTATATAATTTATTTGAATAATATAATTTTATATATGTAAATAAATTATATTCTAACAGTCTTTCATCGATTTTATTTTTCAATTTTATTAAACCTTCATCGTTACCTGTAATTTCAAAAAACTTCAACATTCTATCAAATTTATCTGGTTTAGTTATACCTTTCATAAAATATTTATTATTAAATTTAGCATCTAACCAATAAAAATATTCTACACTTAATTGTCTAGCAAAGTTTTTATCACCATCGAATATATTATTAATTTCTGCATCATCAAAAGTTATAATTCTATTATCTTGTCCATTCATAGTTGGCATTATGATTATATAAATAATTATATATTTAAATATTTATTTATTTATAAAATTGATTTAATGTAAAATCTACTCTTTAAGTACTAAATTTTCATCATTTGTTTAACAGTTTCCTGTGTTTCATTTTCATCATTATCGGATGGAGTAACTCCTCTCCCAAACCTTATAGCAATATTGTGTGCATCTGTTTCTAAATTAATATCACCATCTTTAGTTTTATCAATATTCATTTTTTTATCTGATTTAGATATTTTAAAACCGACTGGTATGCATGAACATTTACAGTTTCCTTTCCTCTCTATTTGTAATTCATTTTTCATCTCTAATATTCTCTTACACATAGGACAGGCAAACTCAACAACTGCTGTTTTATTAATAATTTCTTCTTTATCTTCATCTGTTGAAGAAACTGTAGTATCTGTTTTATTCTTTTTGTTTTTCTTTTTTCCCATTTATATTAATATTTACATTTTTATTTTTGATATATTGTATTCCTAATTTTATTAATTCTAATGAATAAAAACAGCATTTTTTAATTTTATTGTCAGTTATTATCACTTGTTCTATATTCTCTACTTCATCTATTATATCAATATAATCTGAATAACTTCTATCCATATTAAATAATAAGATGAAATAATCATTAAAATAATTATTTGATCTTATTATTTTCATGCATAATAGAATATTGGTGGGGCACAGCACTTGGGTTTTCATTGCACACGCGAGCAAGACACAAAACTAATTATCTTCAATGCTTATTGATTGAAGCAATGGAAAACCTGTTCCGTTTTTATGATATTCACTACCAGCATATCATAAAAAAGATGTTCCATTTAATATTAAATAGAATATGTATTTAAACTATTTTCTTTAGTAAGTTTTACTGCAGTTGATATATCAACATCTAGAATATTATTATTAATAGTTTCTTGTACACTATTTATCATTTCATTTGTATATGTATTAGAATAATCTTTCATAAAATTTACTAATTTATTATAATTTAGACTATCCTCGTTTTCGATTGATGATTTAGATATTATAATATTTTTATTTTTAATTATAGCTAAAAACTTTAAAATCGTATCATAATAATTTTGGCCAGTATCTGGAACTAAAACATCACCGAATTTATATGTACTCCAAATACTAGTAACTTCACTTAAATTAATAGATTCTATTGTCATTATGATATAATTATATTATATTTTATTATTTTATAAGTATTTATAATATTATTTTATTATGCCTGATGTAAAACCAATTGATGAAATCAAATTTGACTTTAAGCAAAGTAAGCACGAGGTCGTCCCTAAATTGCCGATGAGAGCGATGATTGTAGGGCCGTCAGGCTCTGGAAAGAGTACGCTACTTGTATCAATGATACTTGATATTTATAGAGGAGCATTTGAAAGAATTTTTATCTGGTCCCCATCTGTAAATTTGGATAGTATTTGGTTGCCTGTTAAAAAATACATTAAGGAAGGTTTGAAAGTAGATAATGATAAAGAACCGTGTTGGTGGGATGAGTTCAATGTTGAAGATTTAGAAAGAGTTATAGAAACTCAAAATAAAATAATTGAATATCAGAAAAAACAAGGAACGAAGAAATTATTTAATATATTAGTTATATTGGATGATGTATCTGATAATCCAGCAATAACAAGAAATAACAAATTGTTAAATTCTTTATTTTGTAGAGGTCGTCATAGTGGAATATCAACACTTGTCAGTCTTCAAAAATCATCAACCGTGCCACCAATTATTAGAGTAAATATAAGTCATTTGTTTTATTATAAAGTTAGAAACTACAAAGAAATTGAAATATTGCAAGATGAATTATCAGCAATTGTTAGAAGCGATAATTTACACGAAAGCAAGAAACTAATTTATAAAATATATGAAACTGCTACTGACGACCCGCATAGTTTTTTGTATATTAACCTTTTAGAAAAGAACCCAGATAAAATGTTTATGAAAAACTTTTCACAATATTTGAAAATAACTAATCAATAACATTAAATTTATTTTTTAATGTTTTTGATTTAAATTAATGAAGCGTTGCATAAATTCAACGCAGGTAATTTATATATTAGTTTGTCCGATTTTTGGTTTTCTAATTTTTCTATTCGCGCCACACATTCTTGAATAGATTTAATGATTAAAGTATCCGCTCTTGTTTTTTCATCTACTCTTAAATTCTTAATGTCTTCCATACTGTTATTTTCATCGTTTTTACTTTGACCAATACCCATTATATATTATTATTTAGATTTTTCTTTTTTCAATTCCTTAATTTCTTTTTCAAGTTTATCTACTTTATCATTTAATTCTAATACTGCTTTATGAACTAACACAGGTAAAACTAAATAATTTAATCCTAAATACTCTCTGTCTTTACATACAACATTTTCAAATTCTTTAGGAATTGCTTTTAATACTTCATCTGCTATATATCCTATATGAGTTTTACCGTTATCATTTCTATCGTGTCTCTTAAACTTCTTCGGTTTAAATTTCTTAATAATATTCATACAATTAGATTTAACATTATCTATATCATATTTTAATCTTGAATCTGATGAATCCACAAATGTTCCGTTGATGGTTACTGTTGTTGCTGTTAAATCTATATTAGTTCCTGTTGATGGTTCAATTAAATTACATAACAATTTTTTCGTTCCCGCAATTGTTACATTTTCATTAAAAGTCGATGGAGCATTATTTGTAAAACTGTTAGTATTTATTGCCGTTCCAAATGTCTTATCAATAGATAATAAAACAGAAGGGGTA